GTGTACCATCAAATTGGATCTGACTGGTACAAGAGGAGATTGTCCCTCCGTCTCCAGCAGAGCATCTGGTGGATTCAAACCGCTCACCTCTGGGATTGCATTGCAGCTTCTTGTCACTAGACCAACAGAACTTGCCGAGAGATTTTTTTTAAAAAAATTGGGATTAAGCTTCCCTGGTTTAGAAGAATCAAGTTTTGCCTAATTTGTGATTTTTGAAATGAATTCCAATGAATTGAGAAACTCCCCCCATGGGTCGCTCTTAGCAGGGGACCACACTCTACTCTTACACACTAGGGATGACATTTGGAGATTCCAGATGTTGGCCAATAATCTTGTTTCCACACTCCAGAAAGTGAGCTGTGTATTTTGGTGGTTGCAGTGAAAGGCCACCTGCATAGCACCCCATCAGTCCACCATCGTTTGCCACAGCTCTGGGCTGTGGACCTGAGACTGGGAGGGAAGAGGAAGCGGGGGCCAGGAAGGACAGCTGATCTCGGAGGTCCCAGCACATGGCCTTTTTGTGTATGTGTGGCTTTTGAGCCCCGGCTTTATGCCCTGGCATGTTTTGCCTCAGGCATGGCTATTTCCAATTATAATGTTGTTGTCTTGTGTACCGTAGACTTGGAACCGACCCATAGCTGACCCTCTAGTGGGTTTCCAGAGGCACTTAATCACACAGTAGGAGATTACCCATCGGTCTTCCTCAGTGACAGCCAGCGGTGCATCACAATTATTGCATAAAGACAATAGTGTTATCAATATTATTGTTCTTATGTGCCCTCCAGTGGGTTTTCTGAGGCTGAAAGTCAGATGGGAAGAGATTGCCCATCTTTCTCCTACAGAGAGAAAGTTATGAAAGTTTTCGTTTATGAAAGTTTCTTCAAGCAGTGTTTTACTCAAGGACTCCAAGCCTCAACTACTGTAAAAGTGAATGATTGCCGAAAAGGGCACATTTAAAGCCCAGCGGTTGGTGCCCGCTGAGATTCCATGCATATGGAGCGGGGGGTGTCTGTGATGTTGGGCTAACGTGAGTGGCTGTCTTCTCGCTGTCATCTCAGTTGTCTCTGACGCTCTCTCGGGACTTCACGCACTTCCCTTGCTCTCCCAGGTGAGCCAGTCTAAGGAGCATCAGCAGTTTGTCACCTTCTTACAAAGACTCCTTGGGCCCTTGCTGGAGGCCTATAGCTCCGCCGCCATCTTTGTTTACAACTTCAGCGGCCCCGTCGCAGAGCCTGAATATCTGCAGAAGTTGCACAAATACCTAATAACCAGGACAGAAAGGAATGTCGCGGTGTACGGTATGTGCAGTCGCTTTTTTTTCTTTTGGCTTTTGAAGAATTTTTGTAGAAAACAACTAACTGTTGAAGATTGGAAAGCTACAAAATCACCCTCTGACACAACGCTCTATAGAGTCCGTTTTACCTCACAGTCACCACATGACATGTGCGAGATTAGAACTGCTCCACAGGGCTTCCTGGGCTGTAATCTTTATGGGCGTAGATCCCAGCCAGCTCTTTCTCCCACAAAGTAGCTGGGTGGATTTGAACCACCGACCTTTCAGTTACAGACGAAACCTTAACCACTGTCCCACCAGAGCTCCTTTCTAGCACAACACATCATTATTAAGCTCTGATGGTTTGATAATAAGGAATTGTGTTGTCAGCCCAAAGGCTTATGGTCTCATCTGCCAGCATTCTGTGGAAGGATGGACAATTTCTGAAAACCCGCTGGAGGGTCAGCTCTGCGTTGATCACAGCTCAGTGGCACACCGCATATGTCATCAGTTATGTAAACATTTTTGATCAGCAGAATAACCTTGGGGAGGGTGAGGAGATAGAAATGAATACATTTAGGAATGTTAAGGGGAAGGTTAGAAATGATCACAGCTACTGTTCTTGAGTCTCATGTCGGGTTTTTTGCCTCCATGTAACACTGGTCTTGAGATTCATTTCTGTTGTTGCATGTTGTTGTTTATTCATTCTTGTTGCTGTATCTGAGTCCATTGTGAAACTATACACCTCATTTTTTAATCCATCCTGCTGATGGGTGAGTCTTTGGATTGTTGGACATTTAGAGCTACGATGAATAGCCCCTGTGAACTGCTTGACTGTGTCTCTGGGTGACTCATTCCTATTGAGTGTCTGGGAATAGAATTGCAAAGTCACTGGATCAGCTTACATTCCTGCCAGTGGTGTGTGAGAGTTTCCGTTGCTCCAGCACTCAGGGTTGTCTGTTACACCGTTTTTGATCCAGGGTAAGAGTGTTTTACTCAGTGATGTTTTGGAACGTTACAGAAACCACTTTGAATCTCCTTTGAGAGACCTAGCAATCGACTCTGTTCCAGTCGACTCATCTCCAAGGTCACAGGGCTGATTAATGGCAAACCTGGCTTTGAACCCTTGCCGGCTGCCTTCTGGGATCACACTCTTTCTGGTTCCTGATGTCAGAATCATCTGTGCATCACTGTTTGTTTTAAAGGCATTTTCACACATCATTTCATTTGATTTTCCCCTAAGCTTTCCAGATGCATATTTTAGGAGGTTGATCTTTCCTTCTCTTCCTATTTCCCTGTCTCTCCTGTTCTCTTTTTTCCCCTTCTTTTCTGTTTCCCTGCTCCGTTTCTCCCCACTCTCATTTTTCTCAATAGATATTAAAGTAGGTTGAAAGTAGCATCAGGTATTTGAGACCTTGCACATTGACAGCAGCGAAAGTGGAATCTGACCCTGGTCTGTTGATTTATGCTAATTATCGCCCCGCCTCTTGTATTTCCTTACTGTGCAGGTTGGGATTCTTATAATTGGCTGCCTAAACATTTTTTCCCTTTCCCCACAGCTGAAAGTGCCACCTTTTGTCTTGTGAAGAATGCTGTGAAAATGTTTAAGGATATTGGGGTAGGTTTCCAACATTTACAGTCTACAAGCTTGTATTAAACGTCTATTCCTTTTTTTTTTTTTTTTTGGTAAGATCCAATCTAGATCTAATCTCAAGGCACCTTTGCGATGAGGTGGCTTCCAGAAGGAACAGCATTTCTGGAGTTTAGGGGGCTGCTGAAGTAGGGACCCTTCAGTACAGATTTACTTGACTGCTCCAGAATGTTGATGGTTCCCCATTCATGTCAAACTTGAAAACTTTATATATAGCAAATACTTGTGTGTTCTAGTGTGCTGTAACTTTGGCAAAGGCGTTCATTATGCCACAGGATTTTCTAGTATTTTTACCACTATTACTAGAAATCACTTTGAGTATCTTTTATCTTCATGATGTGCCGTTGGAATGTGAGTTCTGTGGAGGTTCTAGTGACTGTAAGGGAAATTGTGATTTTATGACACATAAGTTTTAAAATCCAGTACTGTAGATGAACATTACCCCTAAAAACATCCACCACCCCCAAAATTCTTTCCATGTACTTGTATTTTTACTGAAAGCAGGGATATGGACTTATGTGACTTTGCTGTCTACAGGTTAAATGTCACTGACTGTCGAGGGCACAGATCAGGGTTAATGATAGAAATCTCCTACTTTATTGTTTTTGTCTTAATAATTTCACTTTTCTCTTTAGGTTTTCAAAGAAACCAAACAAAAGAGAGTGTCCATTTTAGAACTAAGCAGCACTTTTCTACCTCAGTCCAATCGACAAAAACTTCTAGAATATATTTTGAGTTTTGTGGTGCTGTAGGTGACGCCTGACGCCTCTGCTAGTGAAGGGTCTGGGACGAGTTCCCCACAGGCTCTGGCCTGCGACTTGAGAACTGAAGGTGCCACCTGCGGTCAGGCTGGCCTGGCCTGATGTGACCTTCTGGACGACAAGTGCCTTCCTCCCCCTTCATGGATCTGAGATTGTCCCATCTCCCAGGTGACACAGCAGCCTACAGACAACACTTGGAGGAGCTCCAGCCTCCATCTGCAAATTAGAATCAGTAGCTAACAAAATGAAATCTCAAAGAAAATTTTTTGAAGTTTATTAAAGATTTGCATTTTAAGTACTACTTTTAAGGACTAATTACTGTGATGGACACAAAAATGTAGGTGGAAGTTAGAATGGACCCTTTTGTCTGCTAATCCTTTGGCATATCTCTTAATTGATGGTTAATTAAGTGGTTGCTGGTTATTTGTTTTGTTTAATTTTTTTAATCATTGAGTCTGTTCACTGTTTTTGGTTTTGTTTATTTGGTTTTGTTGTCACCTTTACTTTTGTTAGTAGTGGCTGTGTTTTAAATGGGAGCTCCTTTCATCCCAAAGTGCTTTTCAATGAATGGGCTAAGATACACTAACTCTCTCAAGGACTTCTGTCCCCCGCAGTCAGGTGTTGAAAGTGGTTGAAGAGCTCCAAGACCTCAGACCTTCTTTTATTAGGTCAGAGACAAAGATTACTGGATCAAACAGATAACATCAGGAAGTAAATTTACTGGCTAAATTTAAGGGGTCGTTGGCCAGAAAACTGGCTTTGAAGACCTTTGCTCTCACAATTAAGTGCCATTGAGTTTTTAATGACCAACAAGTGTTTAGGAACTTCTCCTGTTATCTGTCTGTGCCCTTTCCCATTCCCTGGCATCCCCTGTACCTCTCCCTGTAGGTGGCTGTACCTTGGAAATCTGCCAGCCACGTAGCAACTGTCCTAATTAAGTTAGCTTGGCCTGCTACACTCTTAGCATATGGTTCGCCGGCTCTAGGCTCCTGACCCAGGGCTGTCAGCCACCGTTCATTGATTGTGTACTGCGCTCCGGTCTGGGTACCTGGTACCCACATGAATTGTATAGTGCATGGCCTGTGCATAATACATGGTGGGCATGCTGGTTGGTGAATGATCTGAAGCATTGATGGACTTTTTGCTTTGGTGAAGAACCATGGTTTTGAACATTTATCTCACCTTTGTACCTAAATCCCAATGCTACATAGTGGCTGATAATTGTGAGGAAATGTTCCTAATGAGTAGGTGTCTTTGTGAGCAAGGAGCTAATTGTTTAATCATGTTTGTTATGGTGATTTCTTAAAGATCATGGAATGTGAAGATAATTTCTAGTCATTTACTGTCTCTTAACTCTACATCATTTTGGAATCAGGGATTCCCTGCCCTCCTCATGATAAATGTTGTATACCTTCTTTTAATTTAATATAAAAGTACTGAGAATTAAATTTGTACTTTAATAAGTGTGGATTGTAAACACTAATTATCTCTCATAACTTAATTATCCAGATTGTGATCAGGAGAGGAAGGGGCTCTAATTGGTATTTCATGTTGTGTGACAGTGCCTGTTGGAAACCCAGCACTAGTGCGACCTGCTCTGCGGGTTGTCTTCTGTTTGCCTCCAATTCTGTGTTTGAAGTAGATTTCTCCTCCATTTTTAGGGGGCCTCTTGCATCATGAAGTCATTCTCGGTGTTGTAGTGGCTTTGGCGTGGGGCTGGAGAGTCTCCTGATAGCATTCCATGCTACCAACTGGGGTGTAAGCACCCTGCTTCTCCTGGCTGACACTGTGCAATTGGGGAGATACCCAGAGAAGCTTACTTATCCCCTTTGGTGTCCTTTATCTGGGGGGTCAAACATTTCATTTGTCCCTTTTGATCTAACTGGATCAAAGACCACTACACACACTCTGTGCTTGCTAGCTGGGAAGTCAGGGTTGAGGCTGACCTCCCGGGGGCTCTCCCAGCGCCCCCACTTTGCAGAGAGCTGCCACCCCACCAGCCCAAGCAGAAACCAAACCAAACCTTGGCTTCTCTGGCTTTCTTTCCCCTTTCAGTTGGTTTGTTTGCTAGAAAACGAATACGATGCTTTGGGAAATGCACTGTATGATTTGCTAGCTCTAGCACCATTTTACTCACTGTGACAATAAATATGCATGCTTTTTATAATTAACTGGTGCTTTTGGAAACCTTTTTTAAGAACGAAAAATCTCAACCAAAGTTCTGCTCATCCAGACACAGGCTGACCCTTTTGTTCATGTTAGCACAACTCATCCTGCAGTGCCTCACCACCCAGAACCCCGTTCCCCATCAGGCAGGTTTCCAGATAACACTCTTTGCTAACAGATACTCCTTTTGTTTTCCAAAAGCGGATGGCTTTCCACACAAGATTAAACAAACTAGGTGCTTGTAAATAATTTATTATCGTTTACTCTCAAATTGCATTTCTGTAAAACCGAAATGCATGCCTTCCAGGGGAAGACTGTGAGTCAAGTTGATAAAAACAATAACCAAACTAATAATAAGCAATATGAAACTACGCTCTTATTAAAAAAAACAAACAAAAAAAAACAACAGGTGGATGCGACTGTCCTAAGTGTCTCAGAAGATAGAGGATTTTAACTGTAGGAGATAGAGGTGGGAAACCTGTGCGAGGTGTGTAGAACCCTCAGCCGAGAGAACCGTGTGACTGGCTGCCAGATCTGCTCAGTCTCACGGAGCATGCTAGTGAGAAGTTGCAATAACCCGAGCTCAGACTGTAATTTCCAGTCACCTGAAGGGCGAACAGCATTCTCATTGTGCTCAATGCCAGCTGAATGCCTTGTAAATGTTCACAGTGTTTGTAGAAAGAGGGTCCTGGTGAACTAAGTCTAGAAACTTTCAGGGTACGTTACATGACGGGCTCAGGGTTCCAAGGTCAAGAGCCTGTTTTCACCCAGCATTTCCCAAACTGTTGTGACCCAGAAGCTACCCCCTTCCCCTTTTTGGGAACCCCGTGAATCTCTCACTAGTGTTCCAGAAACAACTTTTTGGGAAATGCCACCTTCGGGAATTCCTCAAGGGGACAAATTGAGAACTGATGGATGGCACTGAATTTGCATGAATCTTGCACAGATGTTGCATTCAATGGCTGTGTGCTTCTTCTGTGGAGACAACAAACACAGAACATGCGACACAGTGGTCACGGCCCTTCCTTTTGACAGAACAATTGGCTGTCAGGTCCTGGAGTTTTCACTGGAAGTAGCAGAATTGGCACAACAATTAATTGCAGCAAATATAATGAAGGTTTTTAATCAGAGCTAAGAAAAATACTGTACAATTGATTGCAGAATATTTTTTAATCCACAGACAATTCTAGTTCTTAGGACCTATCATTGACTGAAGTTTATAAAACTTAACTTGGGATGTAAATCTTTTTTTAAAAACACTCTGTTTAGGAACTGGAGACTTGGCATCTGGCATTTTAATTAAACATGAACTAATAATTGTATATGAAAGAGCCTTTTGACTTTTTGCTAAACATCTAAAACTCTGAAATGCCTCGATGGAAAGTGTTAAGCTATTTGCCTGTTGTACAAAGAAATACTAGATCGTTGTAAAAAGAATGGCTGTAAAGTACTGTAAAATAACACTATGTGATTTTGTGAGAGAAACCTATTTGGAAATATTGACTGATTTTTTATGGCTGTTAATGTATTGTAAGAAGCACAGATGTGTAGTTTATTTTAATAAACAAAAAAAATGAAAACAGTCTTGGTGGCTTGCATTTCTAGTTAAAATTTTCCTACATGATTAGTTAAAATCAATTGAACTTGTTTGACTTAACATAAAACTTAGTTAAAATGATTATAAGATATACTCTTAAAAAAACAAAAAAGATGTACTCTTACATAAATTTACCAGGCTGCATGGCATGATTCTGTAACTGATACAGATCTCTTCCAGTCTGATGAAGCCTTTGGAGATAGAGTTATCTATATATTGTTGTTATTGCTGTTGAGTTGACTACAACACATAGTGACCTGATGAACAATGGCTCTAAATTTTGTGCTATCCTAAGCCTATCTCACTGTCTCTGACACACCTGACCCCATTGCCACAGTCACGGTGTCAGTCCTTCTCACCCAGGGTCTTCCTCTCCTGCGCTCACCCTCCACCTTTTCAAGCATGGGGTCATTCTCCAAGGCTGGTCCCTCCTGGAAACATGCCTACGGCAGTAAGATGGAAATTCAAAATCCTTGCCTCCAAGGAACAACCTGGTTTCACATATTCCAGAACAATCCTATTTGCCTTGTCAGTCCGTGGTATGTCCAGTAGTCTTCTCCAGCACCACAAATCAAAGGCATCAATTCTTCTGTCGTCCTTAGTCATTGTCCAGCTCAGAGATGCATAGCAAGCAATCGAGAAGACCATGGCCTGGATCAGTGCATCTTAGTCTCTACACTTGACATTGTTGCTCTTGAGTGCTCAGGAGAAGGCCTTGACTATAGATTTTTTTCCCAATATTTTTTTTCCAATCAAAATCTTTTGATTTCCTGACTGCTGGTACCAAGGGTATTGATTGTGAATTAGAGTGGGATGATATCATTCCCAACCTTGACCTTTTCACCTGCTGCCTGGCCCCTCCTTGGACTCTACTCTTTTAGTCTACATGTCCTTTGGGTCTTCCCCTCTCTCACATCTTTTCACGACTCCACTTTTTTTCCCAATTTGTGCATTTTTTAACAGAGCCTCTGGTTTTTAAAATGTTTGAGTCAATCCAACTCATAACGACCCTCTGTCTAGCACAATAAAACACAGTGTGACCCTGCACAGTCTCTGCTGTCCCTTGAGCCCTTCTGGTCACTGTGTCAATGCATCTTGTCCAGCTTCTTTCTCTTTTTCAGTGGCACTTGACTTCTCCAGGCGTGACGTTCTTCTCCTCTTCAGGATTGACCCTTGTTAATAACCTGCCCAAAGGGTGTAAAAGAAACGCATTATCCTTGCATCCAAAAAGCATTCTGGCTGCAGTTCCTGTAAGACAGATTGGCTTGTTCTTTTGGCAGTCCACAGTATATTCAGCATCCTTTGCCAACACCACAATTCAAAGGCAATTATGCCAGTTTGTTTCTTATGTGAAAGCATGCTTTTTTTTCTCCCTTCTAGTTTTAACATACTGGTGCAACAAGTTATGTGAAACAAGTAAAATGCATCTTTAGCCTGTTCTGGCTCCTAAACTTAGCCTAGAAAAATAAGAGATATGGAAAGACCAATCAGATACTCCTCCAGGAGTCAGAAGGGAGCCC